TTGGGAAATCAAAAAAACTTCGGCTTAATGCAATTTCGGCTTAGCATGACTTCGGCTTATCGAGTTTCACTTGTATACCGAATAAGATGATAGCAACACCAATAATACTTTCGGGTGTAATGATTGAGACCTCGATAGTCTCTATACTATATCTGTAACACTTTTTCTATTCCGTAAAAAAATGACAATGAAAATTAATCTGACAGTATTTGATAGTTTTGGGTTAAACAACCTGCAATTCGCCCTTGGTTTTTTTTACTTGCAAAGTTACGCAAGCATTAAGTTTTTCGGAAGTTGAATATCATAATGTGCGTATAGCAAAAGATTGTGGAGAGTAAATACGGTATGACAACGTTAATGGTATCAGTTTCAACAAACAGTATATTCAATTTAATATGGTTTCGATAAGGTCTCGCAATATAAAATGTTAAATTACATGGTAGACTTTATTATCGACTAAAAAGTTTATTAAATTAAAACTGAAAATGTCTCATTATCGATAATTATACTGTATATTCGAACAATATTATTATCCACATGTGAGTAAATATAAACTGCATTATTAGAAAACAGGACGACCGGACCGAACATCTGTCTTAATACCCAGACTAGGAACAGCAAACGGTTTAGTATAACTTAACTAAACAAAGGCAAACAGACTAAGATTTTGTAAAACTAACTAGTACTAGGTGCAAGTTACTTGCATGTTGGACATTTTGACAAGCAACAATATTTGGTTGTACAATACTTGCCTTTACTCTACTTTATCACTCACACTGTTGGAGAAAGCGGGTAAACCCATCTCAGTTGGGTTTTGTTTCTCTAATACAATATTGTAGTTCACTCTGCAAATCTCAATCAGAACTATGGACCATCTCATTGATTACTTTGAGTTCTTAATTTTGAGTATATATAATACCAGATGCTTTGTAGTTCATCGTACTTAAAGTCTTACCCGTTTAACCTATAACAAAATTATTTACGTGCAGTAGGTTATCCAAATATATTTAATTGACTCTGAGCTTGATTGTTGAACGTACTAACTATTAATATGCTGCATTATTATCAACGATTGAATCGCATTTCTCAATTGTTATTGCACAATTGTCACGTTTTCACTTTCATTATCGTTACTTTTATCATCACTCATCATCACTTTTTCACACATTTGCCTCGTCCTTTTTTTCTTCAACGATTCATCGTCAACGCGAACATCGAAAATAAGGAGGTGGTTTCTTACTGGGGTCTGCTAGGAATTCCCACTAGATGTAAATCGGGGGAATCGAGACCACAACTTGCAAAAGTTGCTACTACGTGACGGTATCGGTGAACTTCTTCCACTGTTACTGAAAAAGTCTGCGCTATTCTATTGCGCGCAACAATTGTGGTAGTAATGCCGCAGTACTCAGGTTCCTTTCACACAATCTAGGTATATGAAGCATAACTGACGGATAGCTCAGCGAATATTATAGAATACGTGTATGTCAACGAGAGCAGTAAATACGAGTTGTTTAAGTTATCTAGCTTTTTATCTTTGTGAATATGATTGTTTACATTAACTTTTATTCTCATTCTTTTCCATATACTACTTGTGACAAAGCTTGAGCGATTGGGACATGTATATTTTAACTGTATTAGTATACCCGGAGCTCTGAAAGTGGAGCTCAGCGGAACTGTTAATGCGTTTCCACAACAAATATTACGGAGCAGAAGAAATGTAAGACCTCTAGCAGCAGTGAACAAATCTCTGCAATATGAATAAGGGATCTTAATTGTGCAAGGCAAGATGAAGTGAGAAGTGTGCTGCACTTGTAACTATATATAGCACGCGTTACTGATTGTTTCCTTGACATTGTTTTAATGTTCTGCAGTGGAAGATGGCAGAAATGCTTTCCTGCTGTTGGGCAACTAATCCTCAATTTGACTGAAAGTCCTGTAAAAGTGACTCGACTTAGTATTAGTGACACTGAATCCTAGAGAGAGTACATAGTTGCTAAAAGCTTAATGTAACCCTTTGTCTGATGGCTATTAGTGTCAAATCAGATCTTACAGGAATGCATTCATTAAGCAGAGTACTAACAAAGAAACAATGTATGGTTTATTTTTAAATCAACCATTATTAACTCGTATTTTTATAGTTTTGAAGAAACGTTATATGAGCTGAAGAAACTGAAGAGTATGAGTCTTTGCATTAATAATACACAAGACACAAGAGCTTACCCTACCAAAATGTTGCTCTAACACTAGACTTTTTTTGCTGGACCGGTAAAGCTTATGTTGCGAAAGCCGTTACTCTACATGGGAAATCTTGACATACTTTCTCTACACAAAGATGCATTTATTACAGATAAAAACATTATAGAAGAATTCAACGACTACAGCAACTAGCAAAAGAAACATTCAAAAAATAAAATTTAAACTTAATGATTATCACTGTTCAATTTAAATACAATTAATTTTGTTCTTTACTCGAATACTAAAATGTATAAACATAATGCCATACTGTGTGGCAATTTTGCTTAAAAACACACTACGTCCGGTTGACGGGCATAGGTATCGTGATCAAATTTCCATCGATGAACGATTGTGTCGTATGCAAATCTTCTGTGTAGCGTACAGATTTCTCTAGAAAGATGTTTATTTCGAATTTCCTAATTTACAGACTATTTCTAAATATAGATTTACACCCCCGATCCTTTATTAATAACCTACGATTGAATGCTAAATAAAGGTGTTCCCGCCATTAAAATGAACGTACTAATTAATACATATGATTAATTACTATATACCATAGTTTAGTTCTATTATTATATTTACTACTTATGAATAACTACTATCAATTGCAAAATAGATTTCCTTTCAAAGTTAAACATTACGTGCTGTAGAATAACCAAATATAGTTGTTATATTATCGTTGAATAACCTTCATTGCTTACCAAGAACTTTGTTACACTGAAATTGTTACATCTAGTAATAAAGAAATCGCTGTCATAGCGGTAACCTTGTTTTACTTCCGGGTGCCGAGGAAAAATTATAGTTGGATTTGGTCAGTAAATGGATAGTAAATGATATCAGACTAGAGTATTTTAAACCATGTAGATGTCGGATTCGTGTAACGACCTTGGGGTTTAATCGTGTTCCGGGGCGGAACTCTTAGGCTCGTTCTTACTATCGCTAAACCTCTATTCAATTAGTGACCTTATAGGATTTATCAATACTCACGGACTTAATCCGACTACCTGTATACGCTTGCTCCGAATATTATTCAACCTCTGAGTCACACACTCGATTATGATTTGTTAGGAGTTATTAACGAAAATCTATCGGTTGGGAAAGTTTTCAATAATAGTAACGCGTTAAACACAATTAAATAATAATTCTGATGCCTAAGTTCCGACAAGTTCGATGGCAAGATCAAACCTATTAACCGCCGATCGAGAAAGCTTTTTACCCTTAATCAGCGATTCGATAAAAACTCACCAGGATGAACGAAAATTACAACTTATAGTAATTAGAATTCAGAGAGCTATTCTAATTACAAGGATTATAAGGACAAATAGAATCAAATATGCTGAAGATATTAAAGATTCTGAAGACACTGAAGACACTGTTCAGGGCGGAAAACTATAACTGCTTATATGTTTCACTATTTTGACACCATATTTCGATATATCGGGTCATCTATGTTTCTATTTATACTGACACCACTTGATGCGGTGTCGCTTGTGTGCCAAATATTCACTGTGCCACAGATCGGAGATATTTGTACTATTAAGCGGAAATCACTGAGGAATACGTCGCCTTTTAGACCTAGGCTTGACATAGAGATCACAATCGAAATATCATTATAAGAATAATAGCTTGTTATAATCACAGTAACCATTACATTCTAGGATAAAACAGCTTCAAATTTTTCTTGGAATACTCTAGAGAAACAGTTTTATCGTTATGCAAGTAGTCTTATGATATGGTTATCCAGTGCTTTCCTATTTTCTGATAACAATGTTCAAGAAGTTAAAATGTTGATCAATCGAATATGACCTACTTTTCTCCACATTAAAACAAAAACCTGTTTGATTAACATTCTCATTAATAAGTGACTTCCAACTTTCCATCGTATGAAATTGGGACCATTCCACTTTTGCTGTTCTGTGTTGAAGATTAAATTAGTAATTACAGTTAGTCTTGTGCTCTTGTATCCATTTCCAGAATACTTCAGAGACGAGGCTATGCGACTGATGAATAAAAACATACTTTACATTTTTACACCGTTATTGTTAATCCTAAATCTTACATTGATATCTCTTTCAATGCAACGTCCAAGTAAGTATTTTATGACTACCTCTTGAACACAATAAAGTCTAAATAATATCTTTACATAAAATTGTTTTCACTAATAAAAAACCCCGATCTTTTAATAACGTTGCCATTACTTATAATATGAGAATAAGTTTGGCAGAAAAACAAATGTCAATTGTATTCTTCCAACATTAATAAGCAACAATTCCAAGTAATTGCCCGTCGATGCAGTCTCAAAATCAAGAGTATGAAGTGCAATATTTGTTCTTTAATATTTAGTAATCTAAGATAGCAACTAAAATTGTACCTCATGGGATACGACAACTAAAACTGCACCTCATGGGATACCAACTTTAAAAATGTCAAAAAAGTAGAAATAATGAATCTGTCGCAACATAATTTGTTTCTTTCTTCCACTATAAATAAATCTCATCCAACGTCAACTTACAATTAACACACAAAATGAGTACACAGGCATCCTCATCCCCTGGTGACTTTACCACTCAACGTAAGGAAGTCCTCGAGAAACTTGATAGCGCCCCCATCTCTTCATGGCACATTAGAGTCTGTCTAGTAGCGAGCGCCGGTTTATTTGCAGACGGATATAGTCTGTACGCAGTCCTATTTATATTGCCAATGTTGGCATACGTTTACCCAGCCACGGAAAGTTTTGGTGTTATGCTGAAAACTTGTACGTGGTTTGGTTCTCTATTCGGCCATTTGCTGTTTGGGTACATGACCGACAAATATGAGCGGAGAAAAGTAAGAATAATGAATATTAATATTAATATGTAGTGGTAAATCCTAACTGTATATGCTTTGATTACAGATGTTTGGCGTAGAGTTAATAATTGTGGTAATCGGTACAATTTATTCTGCCATCGCTGGCCAAGGTCCAACCCTATCATTTGTCGGCACTTTTGTCTTTTGCCGGGTTATTCTCGGCATAGGAGCTGGAGGTGACTACCCAATCAGCGCACGTACGTACCATTTCTTTTTATTCAAAATAGCATTTATCGCACATGCACATAATAGCGTTTCTTCTTTATATACTGTATATTAAGTTATCATCTCCGAACTTGCGCCAACAAAGTTTAGAGGAACAATGTTGGCGGCTGGGTATGCTATTTACACCCTTGGAGTGCTTTCAGCTGTTCTCGTTTCTCTCGTCTCTCTTGTGGCGTGGAAGGCTTCTATCGATCAGGATCCACAAAATCTTGACCCCGTATGGAGAATTATTATCGGACTTGGTGCCGTGCCCGCAATAATCGCACTATTTTTTAGGTTATCGATTCACGAGTCACCCCGATATCTAATCGACGTTGAGAGAGAAATTAATTCTCGCAATACTGAAGTGGCGCAATTTGGAAACTATGGATACAACGGACCGACTAGAAGGCCAAACCATTTACGCAACATGTATCGACATTTTCGTTCAGGAAAAAGCGGGAAGTATTTGATCCTGATGTCCCTGTTAGTGTTCTGCACGAATCTTAACCCGGCTTTATATCCGGGTTATCCACTGATTAAGAGTGCCAAATCGAACTCACCCTATGATACTCTCTTGGAGTATTATTCGAACCAAGTGGTTTGGCTTCTCTTGGGCTACGTGCCCGCTGCTTTTCTTACCGTGTGCCTAATAGACCGGTGGGGCAGAAAGCCCATTTTATACATTGGGTTCACGGCGTCTGCAGTTTTTTTCCTCCTTTTGGGATTGTTGGTCAAGTTTGTGCGCATTGATAAACCGAATAAAAGTCCGGTATACTATGCCGTGTTTGTAATTATTCGCGTAAGCATGTGTTTGTTTTGAATTATTATTGACGGCCTATACTTTCTCGATGCTAATAGCAACACGACTTTATTTTCTAAAACATTTGCTAGTTCTTTTTAACGTTCGGTCCGCGGTCCGTGAATATTGTCATGCCCGTCGAATTATTTCCAACACGCTATCGTTCAACTGCTTATGGCATAGCCATGGCGGTTGGAAAATTTAGTTACGTACTTTCGTACGTAATACTGGACTGGATTTATTCGGTTGAAAATTTTCATGCGCGATTTCTCGGTGCGGCAGTCGGATGGGCCGCCTTCTTGTTACTTGGAGCGGTATGCACAACGTTCCTACCCGAGACCAAGCACAAATCGTTGGAGGAGATTGCCGACGATGTCTCTTCAAAAGATTCATAATCTTTTTGTTTGCCCTAGTTTCATCCTGCTGCAATGTGACACACACCATTCTGTAATATCAAGAGGCACGCCAATTGGAAATCTGTACAACCGTGACAAAAGCGGCAAAAGCGGCAAAAGCGGCAAAAGCAACAAGCCGATAATTGTTGCAGTAGATAAGCGTTGCTAAAATTAGATCAACTAGTATTCCGAAAGATGTATATTTCAGTCAGTTTCAGTGTCCGTGTGTGTGTTCAGGCGTGTTCATGTGTTCATATTGTTCTAATTCTTTGAATTTTT